AAAAATCACCCAAAACACGCCTTACACATGTTGCCAAGTGAATATTTTTAAAAAAATCTTTAGAAAAAAATATTTTTTAGAAAAAAATTTATAATTTTTTTTTTTTGATGAAAATATTTAAAAAGAAAATCAAAATTTTATCTTTTCTGCATGTTTCTCATCAAAATATAGCGTTTTTTAAATTTTTTTCAGAAAAAAATTTCTTTTTTGAAAATCTTTAGAATAAAAACATTTTTTAGAAAAAAGAAATTTTTAGAGAAAATACTTTTTAAAAAAAATCTTTAGAAAAAAGTTTTTGATTTAATTTAAAGAAAATCTCATTTTTGATGAAAATCTTTGACATTTTTTTTTTTAGAATTTTATCATACTTGCATGTTTCTCACCAAAATATAGTGTTTTCAAATTATTTTTTAGAACAACTATTTTTTTGAAAAATCTTTATGAGAAATAATTTTTAAGAAAAAATGTTCGTAAAAAATAATTTTTTTGAAAAGTCTTTAGAAAAAAATGTTTTTTGAAAAATTATTAGAAATTTTTTTCGAAAACATTTTAAGTAAAAAAATATTTTTTTCAAAACTTAAATGAAAACTTTTGAAATTTTATGTAATCTTTCTTGCATGTTTCTCTTCAATCTATAACTTTTTGGAAAAAAAAAAGAATAAATTTTTTTTTGGAAAAATGTTTTTTGAAAAAATATATTTTCAAAAAAAACCTTTTTTTTAACTTTTTAGAAAAAAAAAATCTAATTTTTTTTTGAAAAAATACGTTTTTTGAAAAAGTTTTGGAAAAATTTTTTAAAAATATTTTTAGTGAAAAAATCTATTTTTTTCAAAATTTTTAAAAAAAGCAGTTCGAAAAAATTATTCAAAAAAATTCTAAAGATTTTTAAATAAAATTTACAAAAACATTTTTTTCTAAAAAAATTTCTTTGAAAATATTTTTAGTGAAAAAATATTTTTTTCAAAATTTTATCTTTCCTGCATGTTTCTCATCAATATATATATAAAAGCTATATAATATACATATAGCTTTTTTTAAAAAAAAAAATTAAAAATATGTTTGAAAAAACATTTTCAGAAAAACAAAGTTTTAGGACATTCTGGCATTTTAAGGCATTTCTGGGACTTTTTTTTTTTTTTTTGGATTGTTTTCATGATGTCATGAAAATATGGTAGGGCATGTTTTTGGTGAAAAATATTTTTTTCTGAGAAAAATTTCAAAACGCTATATATTGATGAGAAACATACAGAAAAAACACTTCTCAGAATTTTCTATTTTGATGAGAAAAGATCCAAAGATTTTCATCATTTTCATAACTCTGACAAATAAAGACATGCTAATAAATTTGTTCATCGGCATCTGTTCCAGGAGCTGCAGCTTGTGTTTGACTCGTCGACATTTTCTCTGCTGTTCTGCCGTGTGTTGTCGTTGGAGCTGAAGTCAGGTCAGTGGACTCACCTTTGAACCTTTCACACCCTTTCTTACCACCATCTTGCAAATTGCGATTGCGGTGTTCTTTTGTTTGTCGTTACAGAGTTCATTAATAACTTGTTTAATTCTGACACCTAGTGGAGAACATTGTTTACTGCAGTGATTCTCAAGATTAATGTTTTTACTATTTAACAGAAAAAAATTAAAGTGGGATAGAGATAAATGGCAAGACAAGGTTACCATTGGTTTCAATGACATTTAAATATTACTAGTACTAGTAATATTAGTGAAATACTAGTTCTAATACTAGTTTAATAACTAACCCTACATCAAACAACTTAGAATGAGTGAAATTATATATATATAATTTACACACTTCGTACTCATATCACCGTGCACGGAATTCTCAACTGGTTGTAGTGTATATATATATATGTATATATATATACACACACACACACACACACATATATATGTGTATATGTGTATATATTCTTTAAAAGACACCGTTGTATGTTGTATGCTGTCGATGACTAATCAAGATCTGTTGCTGTGTAATATTTTATTATTTATTTTTGTTTAATTTTTATCTTTTTTAATTTTAAATCACTGTTGATTATGTTTGTATGTGTTTTTATGTGTACCTGTTAGTACGTAGTTAGTTTACCATCTCAGTTTTTACAGTTTCCCAATGTTCTTTTCAGACAATACAAATCCATAACAATACATATATTTTTTTATTTGCATGTAGCATGGTGATTAACATGACAGGACTCTGTCCTTCAGACTCAAAAACTCAAAAACAGAGGAGGAAAAAAAGGAAACGGATGGAATTTGCTCCAACATCCGAAATCACACTCAGATACAGAACACTAAATTCAAACAGCTTGATTGCTTCATATTAAGAGCAAATGCCAAATTGAACAAACGGGATACATTGAAAATGATTGGCTTTTTTTTTTTTTAACAGTGTCATGGTATAAAGACATTAAAGAAATACACACATACACATGATAGAAGAAAATGGGAAATAATATTGAATGAAAATAAAAAGTTACAGTTGTTACCATGTCTCAGGAGTTAAAAGGTTATTTGTGGGTTGTTTTTTTTCCAGTATGGATCCCATGCCTCATGGAACAGTTTCTGTAGGTTTAAATAATGACAGAGATTAAATGAGAGCGCTCGTACACACACATATACACACAAACCAGGTTAGAACAGTGATGCAATGCTGTTTTGATCATAAAAGCACTATTTTTTTTCTTTGTTTGTCTGCAGGAACTTGATGCAGCGTTCAACGTTTGAATGCAACATCTGCTGCAGGGACAGAACAGATCTCTGGCTGTATGTATACACACACACACACACACACACAGAGTATATATATACAGTGATCCCTCTCCTATCACGGTAGTTGCGTTCCAAGACCTACCGCGAAAAGGGAAAAACTGCGAACAGAGGTGTCCATACTGGCCTACACGGACAGACCGTATATGAAAGCCAGGCACAGGCAGGAGCGCATATTATCACAGTAAAGAACAATAAAGGCTGTTAACTGCCATCTGTGTCAGCGTCTTCGTTTGGTCTTCGTAACAGAAGCCTGAGAAGATGATCAGATCGTTTAGGAGACATCAAAGGGCATTAAATTAGGGTCAACTTTCACCACACACAAGAGCAGCAACTTACTATATAGTGACAGACAAGGGGAGATGCTGAGAGAAGCTGTGTTCGATCTCCCCTCGGTTTTAGGTTAGAAAATGTTTTACATCATGAAAAAAATAATAAAATTGGAAATAAAAAATATACATTTACCGTAAAATACCGCGATATAGAGAAACTTCCGCAGAAAGGATTAAAAAGAAATCTGCGATGTACTGAGGGAGCGAAAGGAGAACCGTGATATAGAGGGAACACTGTATGTATATGTGTATGTATATGTGTATATATATATATACTGTATATATTTACATATACACATATATACATATATCTATATATGTATATATATGTGTGTATGTATATGTGTATATATATATATATATATATGTATATATATATGTATAGTATGTATATACACTGTATGGCAAAAAGTATTCGTATATAACAGGCATGGGCAAACTAAGGCCCGGGGGCTTTTTGGCTTTTTCAGCTTTTTAATCCGGCCGTTAAATTTTTCCAAATTATATAATTTATTTATATTATCTTTATACTTCAGCCTTTTCCCTGCAATACCCATATTTCATCAATAGGTGGTATAGAAAATGATAAAAGCATTTTAGCATCTTAGCCTTTATGCATGACTTTTACGTCATTTATCTTCACACAAACACTGCATCGATCTACTCCTGACCCGTCCCCCCCGTCAAATTTTAGGACAATTGTGGCCAGCGAGTCAAAAAGTTTGCCCACGCCTGGTATATAACATGGTTTTCCTACACGGACACATGGAAACCACATATAATCCAGGTTCACCTTGAATTAAAAAAAAAGCACCTTAACGACGAGGTTAAAACAACAGGTGAACAAATCTCTGTCCAGTCCTTTCTATCTTCTTGCACTTCTGCCCTGATGCACTCAACTCTGCACCACACATTCCAAGCAGATGGGGCATCAATGCCGAGTGCATGTCCCTGCTCTGGTCTGTCTGGGTCTCCAGCACCAAAAAGAACATTTGAGTTTGTCTGAGAGTCAGCCTAAGGCCAGTGTAGCTCTGCCCTGAGGTGCTGATTTTTTTCATTGTTTTTATATTTATGTTGACTTTTTTTTTTCAGATTTGTATTGGACACAAACCAAAAAAAGAGGGAAAATATGCAGCATTGGACATTCCACCGTGCAAACAGATGTCAGGAGCTACTCAGCTGTAGGTTGTGGTTGCAGTACTGAAGGTTAGTAGTTGTTGCTGTTAATAAAACTGCATTTGAAAGAGTGGGTAAGGTTGGAATACCACAGAAAAAAACATCAGGGCCATGTTGATGCACTTTAATTAGATGGTATGGACTTACTAAGTAACTTTAAAAAAAGCAAAGGATGATTTTCTTTCTCTTTTTTTTTTTAGCGTTTTACCGACACTAGAGAGTCACAGAACCAGGGCCTTGGATGCATTTATAACAGACACACTTAGAACAAGTCTTTTTTTTTAATGTAGGACAAAGTGGATGACATATTAATTACACATGTGTTTTACAGTACTATCACTACCTTAGCTCTACTGGTGGACCGCAGCCTGAGGCCGGAGTCTGTGTCAGTCATCAGAGCACTGTAGGTCAAACACTGGTGAAAACAGAAGGCATAATATAATAGTGCACGGCGTCAAACGGCATCTTCTTGTGCGTTTCACAAATATTGACCCCCAGTCTTTAATTTTACTACGAGGACGTCTTCAGCCTAAATCTTGGTAACACGTGTGTGTGTTTGTCGGAGGATGTTATGTGATGTCATTGGTTTATTAGATGATCCCTCAGCATTCAGGTTTCATTGCCGCCTCCGTTTTACACCTCGAAACATGAACAAGCATCTGAGACTAAACAATAAAATTCCACTCTTTACAATATCATAGTAACCAGTACTTGGATCTTCTCAAACTGGTACAGGAGCAAACTGCACAGAAGTACCTTTTTGCAAAATAATAATTTTTTTATAATGGACACGTCAGGGTCACATGGACATTTGTGTCATATAGCCTCAGGACATTACTGTAGATTCAAGTATATACACGACAAACTCAAATAACTGAGGTAAAGACTGAACAAAATCACCTCAATATTAATAATATATAACGCTTTTTTTTCTGTTACCACATCATATTAAAACACACATACCCCTTTGAGAGAAAGAGAGAGAGTGGGAGAAAGAGAGAGAGAGGGGGGAGGGACTAGAAAGTAAGTCATTCATTGGTGTCATCATTATTTTTATCCAAATTCCAGCAGCAGAGAAGAGTGAAGCAAACGGAAAAAACACTGCATATGAAACTGTACAGAGTATGGAACTGAACGCCGCAACGCCTGCAGTGGAGTGGACAGAGGCCCGCCACAACACGGTCGGTCGATCGTCAGAAAAAACAACATACACTGTACCATTGGTCTTTTCCTGTTTTTTATCCTGCTGTTAAAATGGCAAAACAAGTTGCCGTATCGTAGAGAAATACAAAAATGTTACTATGTACAGTATGCGTTATTTGATCAACTGTGCCTAGATGGAGTGAGGGAGGGGTGGAGGGGGGGTGTGGTGTTGGAGGGGGAGAAAGAGAGAGAGGGAGCGGGTGAGGGAGAGGGGGGATGGGAGGTTTGAAGGGAGCGAGAGAAGGGGGG